TCAGCGGCGGAGCCCTGTCCCTGCGGTCCTGGTAGGGGCGTCTCTCGTCGCCTTCCCGAGTGCGTGCAGGTGGGAGGCCGCGGGGGCCGTTCAGAGACTAGACTTAGCGGAGCATGTGCGCTCCGAAGGCCCACAGTTCAGAGGAAGCCCAGGTTGATGCATAATGTGTGACTTTTTTTTTTTTTGAATTTTTGTAAACTTTAGCTGGGAAAGTATCCCAGTGGTACCGTGCTGGGTTGGCATTGTACAGAAATTAACTGCCATATTGGTCTAGAGATGTTATATTTTTTCCGTTTGTACAGGGGTAATGCACTGTATTAAATACGTAAGGTCTTATCTACCTGGGTTTGATTGCAGAAACTAAAAAAAGCATTCTCTAAGTCATAATAAAAAAAGGAAGCCCTGTGATTAAAGAAACTATAAATACTACAATATCTGGATCAAGAACAGTTTCCCAAAATAATACCCTTTTTCACTTTCTTATATTTTCGGTTTTCATTTCTATGCTGTCCCAAAAATCTTTACTAGTTACAGAGACAAAATTAAAAATTTTTTTTCTGAAATCATTGTTTCTCTTGAGGACTCCCAGTTAAATATTCCAAGGAGTCTAAAGTAAGTTGTTGTTTTCTTTAGAAGTTGTCTGAACAGCCCTAGCCGGGTTGCTCAGTGGATAGAGCACTGGCCGGTGGACCAAAGGGTCCCGGGTTCGATTCCAGTCAAGGCATGTACTTTGGTTGCAGGCTCAGCCCTAGTTGGGGAGCATTTAGGAAGCAACCATGTGTCTCTATCACATCGATATTTCTCTGTCTCTCCCTCACCCCTTAAAAAAAGAGAGAGAGAGAAAGAAAAGAAAATGGGGTAGAAGAAGTGAATGGATTCAAGAAGTATTTAGAAAGTAAAATAAATGTAACTCAAATGGATTTGAGAGAGGACAATAACGAATGACTCCCAGTTTCTGGCTTCAGCAAGTAAAGGGATAGCAGTGTCCCTCCCTAAAACAGTGCAGGGAGAGAAGCAGATTGGGAAGGCAAAGCAGAGAGATTATTTCAGTTTGTTGCATTTGAGGTGTCTTCTGATTCATGGTGATTGAAGCCACAGAGAGAAATCCAACCCCATAGAGAAAATGTATAGATTGAAAAAAAAAGGCTTAGGACAGGTCAGAGGAAGGAGAGACTCAGGAGCATAGAGAGTCACTAAAGAAAATTTTCAAATATTTTAATTGCATTTTGTAAAGAGTTGAATTCCTTCTCCGCCCAGCCCCCACCCCACCCCACCCCCTTCAAATCTGGCACTAGTTTCACATCTTTAAGGGTCTTCATTGTCTTGTGGACCCCAGACCTGTAGGATAAACTGTGGAGCTTATGTATATTTTCCTTCATTTTGGACATTTTGTTTGGCAATAACATTATTTGCTGCAAAATAAAGTCTGAACTAGGGAAAGGAGGTTTGCTTAAAATTAGTAGATCTCTTTATATTTCTGTTTTGAAAATGTGAGAGCCTTGGTACAGAAGCTCCCAAGTGCTTTTTTACCAGTTGTCATATTCTGTAACTTTTCAGCCCTTTTGTCTTCACGTGTTGCTTATGGTACGGATCTTTTTTTTTTTTTTATTGATTTTTTACAGAGAGGAAGGGAGAGAGATAGCGAGTCAGAAACATCATTTTTTCCTGGTACATGCCCCTGACCGGAATCAAATCTGGGACCTTTCAGTCCGCAGGCCGACGCTCTATCCACTGAGCCAAACCGGTTTCGGCTATGGTACGGATCTTATGTTAGGGTCTGTACAGGGTGGGTGCCCCACTCTGTATCGGGGTTAGTATAGAATGGAGAAGAATACAACAACATGACCTTAGCCACATTAGTGTTATATAACTGTTACCTAGTAATATTGATTTTCTGGGCCCTGAAGGAAATTCAGAGTATTCTTTTGCCTAAAGCAATAGTGAAATTCATGTCTAAAATAAGAACCTAAATAAGTTTTACATTTTTGGCTAGTGAGTGATCATAGACTCTAGGCCACAGGAGTCTAGGAAAAATTAATGGTGCAGCAAATAAAGCTGTACTAAGATTCCACTTTGTGTTTAAGAAATTGATTGTATTTGAATGTCTCAAATTTATACTTGTAGTTAGAGGGTTTTTTTAATCTTTAACTTTTCATGGCATTTTTCTTCTTTTATAGGGATTTTCTTACATGCCTGTTTTCCTCAAAATGAGTATTGGTATCACCTTCATAAGACCTTTTGCCAGAGTTCTGGTGCCATTTACCCTTAATAAGAAGAGAAGGGTTTTATATTCAACGATTCTGAACAGATACATGTCTTCCAAAATACCAGCTGAATCCTATCCTAAAAAGGAAAATACATCACCTGAACAGCTGGAATTGGATGGGTGGAAAATTACAATGAAATCTAGTGTGCAACAAGGTGTTTCAACAGTCTCAAGTGCCAAGGATGAAGATCCTGTAGCTGCCACTAGGGAATTGATTGAAATGTGGAGATTGCTTGGCAGAGAAGTACCAGAACACATCAGTGAAGAAGAGCTCAAAACCATTATGGAATGTGATTCTAAATCATCCAAAAAAAAATATTTAAAATATTTATATCTTAGGGAGAAAATGAAGAAAGCTAAGCAAATAAAAAAGGAAATGAAAGCAGCAGCAAGGGAAAAAGCAATACAAGACCAGCTGCTAGAAACCACTAACCAAGATAAACAGCAAGACTTTCTATTTCTACGACTTTGGGATAGGAATATGGACATAGCAATGGGCTGGAAGGGTGCCCAGGCCATGCAGTTTGGACAACCTTTGGTTTTTGACATGGCTTATGATGATTATATGAAACCAAAAGAACTGCAGTATACTGTTTCTCAACTTCTGGAAAGTGAAGGATGGAACAGAAGAGATGTCGATCCTTTCCATATTCATTTCTGCAATCTTAAACCAGATAGCCCTTTTCGTAGAGAGTTAATTAAACGTTATGGAGAAAAATGGAACAAATTGCTTTTAACAGCAACAGAAAAGTCTCACGTAGATTTATTTCCAAAGGACAGTATTATATATTTAACTGCAGATTCTCCCAATGTTATGTCTACTTTCAAGCATGACAAAATTTATATAGTAGGATCTTTTGTTGATAAGAATATGCAGCCAGGCGCATCCCTAGCCAAGGCAAAACGGCTGAATCTGGCAACAGAATGCTTTCCGTTAGATAAATATTTACAGTGGGACACTGGTACAAAAAATCTCACCATAGATCAAGTAACACGTATTTTGTTATGTCTGAAAAACACTGGTAGTTGGGAGGAGGCTCTGAAGTTTGTTCCTAAGAGAAAACATACAGGTTATCTGGAGGTTTCTCAACATCCTCAAGAATTGGTCAACAGAATAAAAAAGACTATTAATTCATTTCCAAAAGGCTCTCTAAATAAATACACACGGAAAAAGTGACTTGAAAAAGAAGTATTTGATAGCTTAAGAAATAAATGGATTGGAAATTGTTTGTTTCTTCCTGAATGGAATTCACTTGCTCTTTAAAGAGTTGTCTTTCCAAACAAGTATTGTATCTTTCCCCAATTTATTAAATATCTGCAAACTTTGGAAATATATTTTGTTTACATAAAAAGAATTTTAGAAAGTAAAAAGAGTTGTTCAAGTTTGTTGAGCCCAGTAAAACAGTTGTATCATTGGTACGGCTTTTTTATGAATACTTGCGTCTCAGACTCTGTTTTCCTTCTTAACCCCTTCCCCAACAATTTTTTTGTTAAAAACGTTTCTTTTTCAGACTAATTTTTTTATTTTGGTTCTATATAGTATTTTTGATGCTGGTTATGAAAACAGTTTGTAACTCATCTTCCTATAAACCATATTTTTTTACCATATTTTCTTAGTATACTCGTCGACGACTGAAAAAGAACATTTTGTGCAACCGTGTATACACGTTTCTGCCAGGGAAGGGGTTAAATGTTCTTTTAGCCATGTTAACTATTCTTTCATCAAACATTGATAGAGGAGACCTTGTGGGTTTGCTCAGTGGTTAGAGTGTTGGCCCTCAAACTGAAAGGTTGTTGGTTCAATTCTGATCAAAGGCTCAGTCCCGAACCTTGGTTGATGTCTCTCTCCCTCCCTTCCACTCTAAAAATCAATGGAAAAAATGTCCTCGAGTAAGAATTAAAAAAAAAAATTATAGATTTCTAAACTTCAGGTGGTCATTCACTTACTAACAACATTTGGTACAGTGCTGGGCATGTCATAAGCACTAAGGTATATTGTTTAACTGGATATTAAAAGGTTAAGCAATCCCTTGTACGTCAGGGATTTAGCTGTATAATGAAAAATGGGCCGGGCTGGGGTTACTCAGTGGTTGAGCATTGACCTATGAACCAAGAGGTCACTGGTTCACAGGGCACATTCCCGGATTGTGGCCTCAGTCCTCAGTGGGAGTCTTGCAGGAGGCAGCCAATGCATGTTTCTCATTGATATTTCTTTATCCCTCTTCTTTCCCCTCTGAAATCAGTAAAAACATTTAAAAAAGAAAATGGGGTTTGGGGGCAAACACATTTCCTTTTAAAAGATAAGGGCTTATTTGATAAGTGTGACATACAGCACTTTGCTACTGTGATGTATATGGCTTTCCTTTTGTAGGAAATAGTTCTTTTTCTCCAGCCATGTGATTGAATGGAAGTTTTCCTATTTTTACAAACCTGGCTCTCCTGGCTACAACTGATCATCTCAAAGGAGACACCTCACTCAAGCTTAGTGACGGGCATCTGACTTTAAGATAGGCCAGTCACAACACTTTTCCAGGATTTTTGAACTTGAGAACTAAGACAGCCCTTGTTAGTTCCTTTCCGGTGGTGGACTTCAACAGGATGTTGTACAATTGATGGTATGTGTCCTTGTCTATGAAAAGAAGCCAGGAGAGAGTGAAGTTTACCCACAGAAATAAGACCAATTTCTAGAGCTGTTCAAATCTCTGCCTCCAAATGTCTCTGAAGTCTAGCTATCGATTTCCTTTAGCCTTTATTGGTTGTAAAAAACCTTGTGTGATACCCTGGTATCTAATGAACTCTCCCTTTGCCTAAGCCAGTTTGAGCTGGGTTTCTGCCACTCACTACCTAATGAGTTCTAATATACTTGAGAAAATATGTGCTTGTTTCCTAAGAAATGAACTTTAGGAATCATATTCATGTAGACTACCTGCACCATTAACATTTTTTAAAACATGGGAAATAGAGATGTATGGCCAAGCATTTTTACCTAGTTTCTGAACTGAAAATTCGCATAAGGTGCTATCCCATAAATTTCTTAAAGTAGTGCTTAACTTTTACCAAATACTAAGTACCTGCTTTGTGCTGAACAGAATGCAGTTTACATGAATTATTTAAACAACTAAGTTACAGGTACTATTATTAATACCTTTTTTACAGATAAGGAAAATTTACTCAAAATAATTCAGCCTTTAAGTATCATTTCAAAAGATCTGACTTTAAAGTTCCAGCTTTTAGCCTATAAATTATAAGAATAAAATGCAGTGGAAAAACCTAAACTTGGGATCAGGAAGGTCCTTGAGGAAGTGATGTGTAAATTTAGAATTGATGGTAAGTGTGATATGAATTTCAACTGTTAGACCCTATTAAAGTGGCAAAGCATTAATACTTGAACTGCTTGAGGTACACTGAAGTTAAAGTAGCATAGAGGTTAAGAATAAGGTTAAGCCCTAACTGGTTTGGCTCAGTAGATAGTCGTCGGCCTGCAGACTGAAGGGTCCCAGGTTCGATTCCGGCCAAGGGCTTGGTTGTGGGCACATCCCCAGTAGAGGGTGTGCAGGAGGCAGCTGATTGATGTTTCTCTCTCATCGATGTTTCTAACTCTCTATCCCTCTCCCTTCCTCTCTGTAAAAAATCAATAAAATATAAAAAAATATATTTTCTAAAACAAGAATAAGGTTAAGATTCCCTGGCAGGACCAGCACTATAGTAAGGCAAACCAGGGTCCTAGGAGCACCTCAGTAGTCTCCCAGCCTTGCTCCTAGGGTTCCAGCTCCACCCTCATAGGCTCTGACATTGCTTAAATTGCTTAATCTCTTGAAATTTGTTATCCTCATTCACAAAAAGATTAGAAATAATTCTTGACTCAAAATATTTAAAATGGTGTCTGGCACATAAGTGCTAAGTAAATACTCAGACTGTCTATTCAGATTGAATGTCATTGGAGTGCATGAAATTTCTAGTAGTATATACAAGTTATTGTATCCCTTTAAGAAGTACATTCTTATTTCTGTGTAACAATATGCTGTTATTTCAGTAATGCATCACTGGAATTTAAAGAAAAAAACCCTTGTCCTGGCTGGTGTAGCTCAGCCTTTAGAGTGTTGGCCCTTAGACCAAAGGGTCTTAGGTTGCAGGTTCCATCCCTGCCCCACACCAGGGCATGTGAGGGAGGCAACCAATCAATGTGCCTCTCACATTGATGTTCCTCCCTCCTTTCCTTCTTCTCCCCCTTTCTCCCAGCCTTGAAAAATCTTCAGGTGAGGATTAACAAAAAAGAAAAAAAACCTTTCCAAATGGGCAAGCAGTAACTGATTTCTAAGACTGCTTTTCTCTTATGTATATAAATCACAATGGCAAGCTCATCCAGTTTGAACTCAGATTTTAATTTTCCAAATTTTTTAGAATTTGGAACTTAGCAGAACCTCAGATGCTGTTTCAATTTCTCCAAACTATATGGCCTAACTTCCCGGCACTAACGAGGAAAGATTGGCTTTTCTATCTCAGACAACCAATAATTTATTCTATAGTATTCTTCCTCTTTAAAGGCAACTTTTGTTGCTTATGTTCTAATTGTCTTTGCCTCTTACCTATTACAGACATGTTTTTATGAATGCCACTTGAAATGCTCTCCTTTATTGCTTTTATCAAACATGCCACCAACTTCCCAGCTTTTAATAATTAAAACAATTTATTTTTAATTGATTTTAGAGAGAGGGAAACATTCATGCATTCATTGGTTGATTCTTGCATATACCTGACTGGGGATCGAACTGAAAGCTTGGTGCATTGGGACCATGCTCTAACCAACTGGGCTACCCAGCCATACTTGGCTACTATTACCCCTACAATATTACCCAGTTGAACTTTGTTATATTTAAGCCAGTGCTTTACGCAAGCATTTCAGATGCTTAATAGTCACATGCAGCTAGTGGCTGCCACACTGACCAGTGCAACTCTATAGCACTGCTTGATAACCCTGTGACCTGCTTTGTGCTTACATCAGTCATATCGTTTCCAGCCAGATTCAGTGGCCATTTCCATGGCACATCTACGGAACACTTTCCTCCTTAAAATACTTCTTCCTTGGTTTCCATATCACAGCCATTGTTTTTCTCAATCTAGGGCAGCTTATCTTCTTCACTGGCTCATTCATTCATTCAGCAAATATTAATTGAGAACCTAGTAGGGGCCCAGAAGTATTTTAGATGTTGGGATGTGGATGTTGATACAGTGCACAAAGCAGTCCCAGCCTTCATGGATATGAAATTCTGCAGAAAGGAGACAAACAAATATATACAATGTCAGATGGCAATAAGTGGTACTAGTTTCTCTCTTCCCTCCCTCCCTCTCTAAATCAATAGGAACATACCCTTGAGTGAGGATTAGAAAAAAAAAACTAGTATCTATAAATTCATAATTTCACATTAAAAAGTCTCATCTGTATGTCTCTTCAAAAGTGAGAGTCTCCGTGATTAAATAGCTTGTGAAGATTACACCTGGGGAAAATAAAACAAACATGAATTAATTACCTGCTCTATGTAAAATATTGTGCTGGGCACGTTTACATATACTGTCATAAATGGTGGACCAGGACTTCAAATCACCCAGTCACCAAACCACGCTGCTTTTGTCAGGAGGTATACTTTTGTTCTCCATTCTCTAGGCTTGGAACCTGAGGAGTCATCCAATCACAAACACTGAGCACCGTTCATATACGAAATGCACAGTACAAAGTGCTGTGAAGAAAAAAATAATGGTCTCTGTTGTGAATAAAGGTTTCTGTTGTCAAAGAACTTTAGCCATGTATTTTTTTTGTAGGGAAACCACTTTTTTTTTTTTAACACATACTAAAGGAAGCATAAAGTTACCGAACAATGCTATATAGAAATCATCTCACTTAGTCCTCATGACCGCCCTTTGAGGAGACACTATTATTTCTATTTTACAGAAAAGGAAATGTAGGTCCTGTTGACAGTAAGAAACACTCAAGATTTACTCAGCCAATAAGGGATGGATCAGGGTATTCAAACCCAAATTCTGACTCCTTAAGACTAGTTTCTGTAATACTCACTGTATATTGTAGGGCAAACCCGGAAACTCCAGTTCCCTAGGCAAGGAATAAACCCTGTATAGCAAAAGGGCTGTATAATATAGGAAAAAAGGGAAAATGAGGCTGAAAAGTTAGACTGGGCCCAATATAACGCTTGGACTTCATTCTGCAAACACTTGGGGCTCCACTAAAGATTTTTAAGCCAGGCAGAAATCACTGCTGTCCCCCCTTAATAAAGTCACTTCTGTTAACTTGATACAGAAACGGCAGCCTAAATTTAGAAACAGTGGTTTTACCACCTGGCTACCGTGTCCTTGGGCAAATTACTTTTTGGCCTCAACTCACAATAAAGAGGGTAATTCCGCATTGAACTCTCCTGGGGAGCCAACGAAATAGTGTCTAACACAAGAGGGCGCTCAATAAACGCTAATTTCCCCCCCACTTAAGTAGCGAAAAATACGGCCTTATATATTTTTTTCTGTGGGTAGGCAAGGCGATCCAGCAACACCAACACGAAGGAGCCAGCTAGCTTACGCTGCAACTACACCCCAGTATGCAGAAACCTTACTGACCAGTGGTTCTCAACCTTCTGGCCCTTTAAATACAGTTCCTCATGTTGTGACCCAACCATAAAATTATTTTCATTGCTACTTCATTAACTGCAATGTTGCTACTGTTATGAGTCGTAATGTAAATATCTGATATGCACCCCTCCCCTCACCTCTCTGCGCCGTGAAAACAAAACCGATATCTCGTGAAAAGCCCGCACCAGTCCTCACGGGGCGCGCATCCTCCCCGCCCTCCCTGCCCTCCCTTCAGAGGCGGCTGGGCTCCGAAGTCACCTGCAGTTCCGTTTTCACTCTCCGGGGCCGCTCTAGGCTGCCGCCCCGCCCGCGGCGCCGCGTCTCCATGGTTACTGGGCGGGGCCGTGACGTCCTTGGCGTGGTTGCAGGGAGGCCGCGGCGGGGAAGATGGCGGACGGGAAGGCGGGAGAGGAGAAGCCGGAGACGCCGCAGCGAGCTGGAGCCGCCGGAGGTGAACACAACCCCAGCGTCGCGGGCTGAGCGGGATGCTCTGGGTCTTTCTTTGAGCTCCCGGGGTGGAGGGCGGCGGGAATGGGCGGACCTGGCGCTCGCCAGCCAGGTGCTGGGCCCAGATGAACCCTGGGCACGCCCGGCGCGGCCCGCGGGGATCAGGGCCCGCATCGCCTCCTGGACGGCGGATAGTCGGCCCCAGTTCATCACCTCCTGGCTCCCCGGAGGCCCCGCCTCCGAGGAGAAGGGAGATGGGCGCTAGAAAGGGGAACGGAACTCGGGTGCGACCCGGCGCGGCGGTGCGGGAGGCGCTACCGCCACCCTGGAGACGCGCATCTCAGCGCGCACAGGCGCACTCGGTGGGAGTCTCCGCCGGCGGCCGCGGGAGCCGGCCGCTCGCCAAGTTTCCGACGGTGCCGCCCTCTCGGTTACACCTAGCGGGTCGTCTGGGGAGGGTGGACGGCTCCGGCCTTTTCCCCCTTCCCTTTATTTTCCAGCCGAATACTGACCCTGTCCCGGGCGGGGTGGAGGCGGCGGAGTTAACGGGGAAGGAAACCTTTGTCTGCCCGCCGGCTGGTTGCGGCTGCGGGGTTCAGGGTTAGGGCTTGGTTGCCCGGCTTTGGGGTGTCTGCCTTTTCCGAGTCAGGCTGTCGCCAGCTGTCTGCGGGCCAGATGCTTAGGTGCCAGCAGCGGCTCGTGTAACTCTTCCTGTATTTTGTTGCGATGTGCACGCAGGCTGGCTTGGTTTTGTCCCCTCCGCCCCTGTACGTTCATGTCTCGTGCTTTCGGGAAAAGAAACGTAACGCCTCCAGCCTCCCTTTGTCGTAACAAGGCACCTAATTGAACACGTGCGAGCTGATAGTAGTATCTTCAGAACGTTTTCAGCATTACTCCCCAGCTCCCTCCAGTTCTTCTTCCTGACAGTATTTCATATGAGAAAATACAGGACATTGATGGCATTTGAAGGCAGCTATTAACAACTGTTAATAGGATGTTGAATGTGAACTGCCTTGAGAAAAGTGTAATTGTTCAGTTACTTTGGACCCACAGTTTCCTTTTTAAAAAATAGGTACAGTGGTATTAGTGGAGCCATACTGCTCCCTCTCCTCTCCCCTGGTTATTTACTATCTCATTAGGGGCTTTTTTCCCTTCAAAAATTGTCTTGGAAAGTATCGAGTAAAGTTACATTTAAAAATTAGTGATTTGAAGAAGAAAAATCGATAGCCTAAAGAATCTTATCTAGCTTTTAAACTGGCTTTTTTTGAGCCACACCAACCAGGGCACATATAAACCATTTTTTAATGTTAGCTGTTTTTTTAAAATATATTTTTATTGATTTCAGAGAGTAAGGGAGAGGGAAATAGAAACATCAATGATGAGAGAGAATCATTGATCAGCTGCCTCCTGCACACTCTTCACTGGGGATCAATCCCACAACCCAGGCATATGCCTGACCAGGAATCAAATTGTGACCTCCTGGTTCTATAGGTTGATGTTCAACCTTTGAGACACACCAGCTGGGCTAATGTCAGGTATTTATAATGAAGTTGTACAAAGGAATCATAGTTAAAATATTTAATAGAGTGGGTATTGCTAAATTGTTCATTTTGTGGCCAGTAGCCACTGTTTTTGAAATACTATGAAGTTTATTTTAAGGGTTTATTTAGAGAATATTCTGATTTTTAATTCCTATTGAATAGTCCAATAAATTGGAAGTATAAGTATTTTTTGTGTGATTACTTTTGTAGTTAACATGAATTTATGTGAATAAGAGAAGAGGAGAGATAATGCTAAGGGTGAGGCCTTAGGTAGATTTTTAAAAAATATATTTTATTGATTTTTTACAGAGAGGATGGGAGAGGGATAGAGAGTTAGAAACATCGATGAGAGAGAAACATCGATCAGCTGCCTCCTGCACACCTCCTACTGGGGATGTGCCGGCAACCAAGGTATATGCCGGAATCGAACCGGGGACCCTTCATTCCGAAGGCTGACACACTATCCACTGAGCCAAACGGTTTAGGGCATGGCTGAATTTTTGTATCTCCTTGAAATAAATAGAAATTTTAGTGAAGAGCTATTCATATCATAATCATGGCCATTTCAGGATATCTAAGATCTATCTAATGAAATTGACATTTATTATGCCAGGCTATAGGTCTTGAATATGTTCTCATTTAATCTTTTAGAGAGATGGCTCTGTACCCTTTTTTCAGGCGAAGAGCTACCTGTGTGTAAATGGGTCATGAAGGATACCCCTAAACTTACTTTCTTAATAGGTAATTTTTTTGAAAGTAAGATACCTTTATGCCCCAAGGCACTCCTCTCCCCAACCATTCAATGGGGGGGGGGGGAATGTTTGTACAATGTGTAATTTAATTTCATATTAACTAATCAACACACTTTGTTCAGAATGAATATAAATTAGATAAAATCCCTTTTATTAAAATATCCCTTGATAAAAAACACAGTAGTTTGATATAACTGTCCATGTTTTGTTATACATTATTTTATTTTTAAAAAGTTGACCATATACTTATTCATCTTTTAAAATATAAATCACATTGCCAAAAATTTTCAAAAATCTTTGGTCATTCAAATTTTTGTTTTCCAGTCTCAAAATAGAAAACATCTCATTAAATAGATTGAAAACAGCAGTTTTTATTAAAACCCCTAAATATTAAGTAGCACATGTTGTGTTTAAAGGAAAGCACTTAATAGAATTAAGAATTGATGTTGATTTTTAATGGTATGTTTCAAAGCTTACATTAGGTTGAAATAATGTTCTAATGAGCTCTCTATAATTGCAGAAATTATAATAATCACACTGATCATAACATAGATTTGGCTGTCATATTTCCCCCTTACATCATTGCTTATTTCATTTCGCTATATTTCCTAAATGTTTCATGTATCTTACTACATAATTGTTAGAAGAGGATTGCATGAAAAAATAACAGTTCAGTCCACAAAAGTGAAATGAGTACTAATAGTGCATCCACCTTCCTTCACTCCCCCCCGCCCCGCCTTTTTATTGAAGAATAAATGGTTTCTAAAGCTACTGAGTATTCACAATTGCTTACAAAAAAACAACAACAAACTTATTGAGAGTGAGCAAGGCTAGTTTTTTATATCCAAAAACAAATTGCTGATCTGGAATCAGCCATGTGTGAAAATGACCTAATAGACATAGTATGCTTTAATCTTCAGTGTGCATCTGAGATGTAGGTGGTCTTAATAGTTTGCTTCTTCAGATGACAAAAATACAAATGTGAATATAATTGAGTTGCTGCCAGTTGATTACTTACTTAATAATAGTTTTCCCAGCTCCCCTTTTCATGCTACCTTTTTCTAGAGCAGTCTCTAGAAATCTCTTCCCTATAGCATGATGCAATTGGACAGATACTATTGTGTTCCCTGTATTAGCACATTACTAGTTCAGCTAGTTATCACACTTAATGTTATTAATATTGTAGTAAGGATTATATTTTCACTTATCATTATTTATGCTTTAATTTTTGAAGGTTATTTTTTGTTTCAAAAATACTTTCTGGATAACAGGAGACCTAGAATTAGGTAAAGATGGGTTTTAAAAGAACAGGAAATCTTGACTAATTATATAACACTTGAGTCCCAATTCAAAGAGCAGTTATACTACAATTAAAACTAAATGTTCTTTGCACTATTTGTTTTTATTTATTTTCAGAATTTCTATATATTCTAATTTGAAGAGTTTTCAATTTTAGCTGTGTATCAGTCACAGAGAAGTTATCACTGTTTGGGTTTACTGTAAATGTTATACATGATTAAAATTATAAATAGATGGGGGTTTGCCCTTGGGGGTGGGAGTCGCTGGGGGGGTCAATCAGGGAAAAAGGGGGACATGTAATACTTTAAACAATAAAAAACTATAAATAGAAAGCAGAATATAATTTGGCATAAACTATTTTAGTTATAAACTTAGACTTTGAAAAAACTTTACATAATCCTTTTTAAAATTTATTTTTAATTTAAATTTATTGGGTCGACATGAACCATATAGGTTTCAGATGTGGGTTTCTGTGTTACAAGATCTGTATATTGTACCATGTGCCCACCACCCAAAGTCAAATCTGTCACCATATATTGAGGCCCCCTTTTCCATCTCCCCACTTCCCTCTCGCAACCACCACATACATTATATTTTTTTTAAAGAAATTCTAAATTGAGTTCTGCATTTTAGCTATTGAATAGTAATCTTTCTTTCTTCAGGTACTTTTGTAATTTCATATCTGAGTAAGTAAATGGCACCTCCTGGGGAAATCCCAAAATCTAATCCTGCTTAATTTCTTTCCTACATTGTCATTACAACTCTCACTCCTTGTCCAAAGGAAATTAAGAGTTATTTTTCCTCTCAACAAAATCAGATGTTCTGTTCAAAGTGCTTATTAACTAGAGACTCTACAATTCCAAATTATATAGATTGAGATATATAGCCTACCCTTTTTTAATCAATTACTTATCAGTCTGTGTTTAATTTCCTCCCTTCCCCTGCATTCAAGCTTTTTGTACTGTTTCTTAACAATTGTCAGAGCTATCTCTTAGAGCAGGGGTCCTCAAACTTTTTAAACAGGGGGCCAGTTCACTGTCCCTCACAGACCGTTGGAGGACCGGACTATAGTTTAAAAAAAAAACTATGAACAAATTCCTATGCGCACAGTGGCGGCAAAAACACCTGGCAAACTGGGGGAAGAAAATACGAATTTTAATAATAGCCAGCCTTCTGTCTTACCTCCCAATATGTTCTTAAATAGCCTTGTATTACATATCTGAGATATTCAAAATGTGAACTCATTTCATCATTTATTAATGCAAACAGGAGCAAAATTACTGAAAAACATCTTGTTTGCATGCTTTCTACTGTTGGAAATTATAATTAGCTCATCTTTCTTTCATGATTAAAAATAATGTAGAAACCTAAGTATGATTGGGTTTTTTTGTGGGTTTTTTTTTTTTACATATATGTAGATGAAAAGAGTGGAAATTTATTGGGAGCAAATACAGACTCCCACATAAGGAGGGGCCCAAGGGGTAACCCATTAAACTCTTTTTTGCTAAGGTTTTTTTATTTTTATTTTTTTATTGATTAAGTTACTTCATATGTGTCCTTATCCCCACATTACCCCCTATCCAATTAGGATTGTTAAAAGCTCTTAAGGGTAACTTAAAACAGGTGATAATAACCAAGCTTTCAGAGGAGAAATACTCAAAGGGTGATAACCTTTGTAGTCTTCTTTAAAGTTCCTTTACAAGTAAAGATTGTGTGAGATGTACATGAGGAACACATCACTCAAGAAAGTTATTCCAGGCTTTATTAACATTGTAGTTCAGGTAATAATGGCTGTTTATAATTAGGTACTTCATATAACTAATAGTACATTATTGAAGAATATTGGAACTTATTAGTCAAATGTATTATCCTATGATGTGACTAATTGTTCACAAACTAGTTTGTGTAGAACAATTTACAGACCTTAATTTCTAAACAAAATCTCACAAATAACTAGATTATTGTACAACTTAACTGTTTAGTTGAAGGGTCTTTACTTTCTGTGAACTCTGTTTATAATTTTAAATTGCTCTGTATTTTATGCTAGTTAATTCATGGGAGCCTCTTCTACTGCCACAATCTCAGTTCCTGTTGTATACTCTAACAAACAGTGGAAGAGACTGTTGGGTCAGTAGGTGACAACTGCAGAGGTATCTTCCTTATAACGATGCTTTTTGAGGTTGCTGCTCCCGTCAGTCTGCTCAGTAAAAATAGCTCATCTTGGTAAGTTGTTTCGACTTCACCAGGACCTGAAGAAGAAGCAGAAAAACCTGTGAAAACTAAGACTGTTTCTTCCAGTAATGGAGGGGAAAGTTCCAGTCGCAGCGCTGAGAAGCGATCAGCTGAAGAAGAAGCTGCAGACCTCCCAACAAAGCCTACAAAGATATCCAAGTTTGGATTTGCCATAGGTAGTCAGACGACAAAGAAAGCCTCCGCCATATCCATCAAACTTGGATCCAGTGTGAGTTGTTATTTTATATATGATATTCGTAATGGGTCTTAAGAATTTGTTTTGGAAACCTGCTTTCACTGAGTTAGGTAAATTAAGTATAAAAGTGTACCTATAGGTATTTAAGGAGTTATTAGCTCCATGTTCAAGAAAGACCTGGATGAACTATATCTTTTTTTTTTTAATATATTTTATTGATTTTTTACAGAGAGGAAGGGAGAGGGATAGAGAGTTAGAAACATCAATGAGAGAGAAACATCAATCAGCTGCCTCTTGCACACCCCCTCCTGGGGATGTGCCCACAACCAAGGTACATGCCCTTGACTGGAATCAAACCTGGGACCCTTGAGTCCGCAGGCCGATGCTCTATCCACTGAGCCAAACCAGTTAGGGCGAACTATATCTTAATAAAGTTTTATTTTAAAAAGGTTTGGAATATAAGAAACAACTACAAGTAATAGCTTGGAATTTTCCTAAGTTGAGCAAAGCCTCTTAAAATTTTTTCAGGAAGAATATTAGCTTATTTTTCATATCTTTCAATTCTAGTAATATTAAAAATAATATCTCTAGAAATTGTTTTATCTTAAAACGTTAATATTAGAAAATATTCCTTGATAAGAAGAGCTTCCTGATTATCTTATTTTGGAGGTGCACAAGGACCTTCATTGATATCCTGTGACAGTTCCTTACAGATCAACTTTTCATTCCTTGTAGGGTTTTTTTATGCATGTGTGTTTTTTTTAAAATATATTTTTATTGATTTCCGAGAGAGGAAGGGTGAGGAAGATAGAAACATCAATGATGATGAAAAAAGAAAAGAAAAGAAAGAAACAAACACCAATGATGAGAGAGAATCACTGATAGGCTGCCTCCTGCACACCCCACACTGGGAATCCAGCCTACATCCTGGGCATGTGCCCTGACCGGGAATTGAACCATGACCTCCAGGTTCATAGGTCGTTGCTCAGCCACTGAGCCACACTGGCAGGGCTTGATCCCTTATTTAAACCATGAATCAATACTTACGAATGATGGAGTAGCTGGAAAGTATTTGAAATATTAGATTGAAGCATATGAAGTTTAGAAATTTGACTATAACTATTTTATATGGTTTATCCAAATAGATCTCTTCTTTAAGAAGAAAAGTTATTTATATGTTATATTGCTATCAGCTTTAGAAAATAGTTACATTCTTGTGTAAGGAGAAAAATCCTAAAATTGCTTTTGAGTTTATTCATATCTTTTCTGTGAAAATTAATGCTCAGTTGCTAGATGCATACAGCTTTTTTCTGCATTAGCTGTTCATTCAAAGATCTTTAAATCTGATATGGATCAAGTTTCTACTATAAGTGTGACCCACGCTGCTAATTTTAAAAGCTACCATTTCTCAGAACTCCCACTTCCATCAAGACATTCAGCTTGTAACTTCATTACTTAAGACTTGTCTCCCTATCAGAACTGATTATTTTGTTTAATCTTTTTTTTTAAGCTGCATAGACTTATCTGCATAAATTTTTTTTTGTTTTTAATCCTCACCCAATGATATATTTTTTAGAGCCAGTGGAAGGGAGAGGGAGATACAGAGAGAGAAACATCAAAATGAGAGAGACACACCAATTGGTTGCCTCCCAAATGCACCCCAATGGGAGCTAGGATGGAGCTAGGGAACCTGCACGTGCCCTGGACCAGAATCGAATCTGGGACCCTTTCAGTCTGAGGGCCGACACTATCCACTGAGCCAAAATGGTTAAGGCAAAACTTACTTTTTTTTTATAGTGATTAAAAATGTATTCTAATGTAAACTTCTTATACAGATGTTCCCCTTGATAATAAATTTTACTATGGTTCAACACACCCCTTAAATTGGATATATTATCCCTAATTCACACTTAGCAATTTAGTAATGCCTGATTAAATTAGATGGGAGGGTTGTGTTTGAAAAAGCCTACTCAGTAAAACTAATCTTTGGAAAACAAAAACCTATTTTTATAAAATAACTGATAGTGCAAACATAATTTTCTTGGGGGGTAGAGATGTAAGATATAAGAAATAGTTGGAATTGTTGATTATGTGATGTGAAAAGATAGTCCGATTAACCAGCAAATACTTACCTGGTGTCTTATGTTGTACCTACAACAAATACATGACTTCTTTAAAAGATTGAAGGGTGTTTCTAGAGTCACTATGCATAATCTCCAAATGAACATTTCTTATTCCTTCAGAAGCAAATATTGTTTATAAAAATATTTGTGTGTGTGATAGAAGAAGGGATGGTTAATTTTGTTGCAGGTCAGAGAAAATTTCACTTATAAAGTGATGTTTGAGTTTGCCTTAAGTGCAGGCAGGAGGCAAAGGGCATCTCAGATAAAAGGAATTTCATGTAAAAGCAGTTTATATATGAAGCCATACAGTACATTCAGGAAATTGTACTTGGAAAGTGTTTGGAAGGTGAATACAAGATAGAAAGCCCTCAAAATGAGACCATAGGATCAAATCATAAAGGACTTGAATTCCATAATGTAATTTGGCTTCATTCTTTAGGTTCTAGCAGAGCCATAGAACATTATAAGGAGTATTGGTACTTAAATGATTTTGCATTTTAGAAACATCACCATATATATCACTCTGTACAAAGGATTAGAAGGTGGGGGAGTTTGACATACTTGGTTTGGGATGGATAGAGTTGATCAGGGGAGAATAGAGAAGGAAAGGTCACTAAGGACAGAATTTAGGGTACCTGTCATTTGAAGCAGGACAGGAGGGAGAAAAGAGAATAAAAGGTCAGAGAATTAGGAAAATCGCCAATAAAAAACAGTGTCACAGAGGCAAAGGTAGGGGTGTTTTATTTTAAAATGTATTTTTATTGATTTCAGAGAGGAAGGGAGAGAGAGAGAGAGAACCATCAGTGATAAGAGAGCATCATTGATCGGCTGCCTCCTGCAAACCCCACTGAGGATCAAGCCCACAATCTGGGCATGTGCCCTGACGGGGAATCGAACCTTGACCTCCTAGTTCATAGGTGGACGCTTAAACACTGAGCAGCACCAGCTGGGCAAGGTAGGGGTGTTTTAAAAAAAGAACTGGTGCCCAGCCAGCATGTCTATGGTTGAGTGTCGCTGTGAACCAGGAGGTCACAGTTCGATTCCCAGTCAGGGAACATGCCCGGGTTGCAGGCTTGACCCACAGTGTGGGGCGTGCAGGAGGCAGCAATCAATGATTCCCTCTTATCATTGATGTTTCTATCTCTTCTCCCTTCCTCTCTGAAATCAATAAAATGTAATTAAAAAGAAAATAAAATGCAAAAAAGGAACTGATGATTAGAGTCAAAAATAGCACACTTGTCATTAGTGATTATATAATCAGGGTCACCAGATTCTAGTTGAGTGAGGAATCATGGAGAATGGTAAGGGAGGAAGCCAAATTGCAGTGGGTTGAAGATTGAATGGGTGGTGAGGATTGGAGATACTGAGGACAATTTACTTCAGACAGATTAGAAGAGATGCTATGAGTGAGGCATGCATAAAGGCTATAGGGCAGGAAGCTAGCTAGTGGAAAGATGAGCCTTGGTGTCTTTTATGTTCCCAAGGTGCACTACTTAATTTTAATGTTACAATGGGAAAGTAATACTGATAATTTTCTCTTACCTGTCCCAGGTGCCCCTTAGCTAAATGATACAAAATTATAGGTCCTAACTAGGAAATCTTTTATAAGAGGGAAAAAATGGACAATAAAGTAAAAAGCTACCCATTGATAACCCACATTTTCAGAAAGAAAGAATGGATTTGTCCAAAGTTTTTTCTGAGTTTTTTTACTATTTCTATGAAAACATAAAGTTTAATATTTGATGATAAATTATTTATATCATTAAGCCTGTGTAGATGTTATGTCTTACTCTTTAATATGTTTTTTCTTCAGAAACCTAAAGAAACTGTTCCAACTCTTGCTCCAAAAACCCTTTCAGTAGCAGCAGCTTTTAATGAAGATGAAGATGTAAGTTGACACCCAGTTTTGTTTATTTAACCAGTTCTTTAAGAAAGATGTTAGTGGCAGATTATAGGTTGTGTTAATGGTACTAGTGAATTTCCTTTGCAACTCTGATCAGTTTCTTTGTGTGAGACATCTGTGAAATCTGGATATTTCTATCCTATCTAATAAAAGAGAAACATGGTAATTAGCGTACATCCACTACCCTTCCCATTGGCTAATCAGCGAGATATGCAAATTAACTGCCAGCCAAGATGGCGGCTGGCAGCCAGGCAGCTTGAAGCTAACATGAGGCTTGCTTGCTTCAGTGACGGAGGAAACCAGTGTTCCCAGACTGCCTTGCTGGCCTCTGAGCTTGCA